AAGGTGACACCTCCTCGCTTCTTTCTGGAAGACTAGGCTGACAATAGGAAGGGAGCCTCTCAGGACACTGGTGGCCTGAGAGGCTGAGAGGAGCCAGTGGGTGGAGAAATCAGGGCCTGCTGCAGGCAGTCATGGGCCCCGGGGTTTATCTTGCAAGAGACCACCAAAGTCTAAATTAAAACAGGAAGACGGTATGAGACTCAGCCTCCCCCATTGGAGCAGCCACCAAAGTTGGCTCCTTCCTCTAAGCAAGTGGGCAAGAAGGAAAGGAAACAAAGAGGAGGAAAAAGACAGGACACTCATTAGAAAAGTAGGTCAGATGCTCCCCTCCTCTGTTCGCCTTGCACACTCTTCCCCAGCGCTCCTCATTGTCTGTGGAACATGTCCCAGAATGCCAAGTGCACTGCTAATACAGCCCATTGTGCCCAGGAAACGCCATGTGGCTGTCCGCAGTGTGAACCCCGTTCCCACTAAAGAAGGCGAAGCAGCATTATTGTGCTTTGGGGTTTTGGTCAGTAGCTCTAAGAAGAACCTATACTAACATAATTAGCAGATCTTCCTTCCCTCCCAAAAAGGGGATTTTACTTTCTAGAGATGTGACTCCGGAATTGTTCTCTGTAGATTTTTTTTTTTTAATAGGTAATGGAAAATTCATTTGGTCACTTTTACTGACTGTTGCTTAACGGGCAAATGCATCAGGAGCTCAGCTTCTTGGTGCATAATCAGATCGAGAATCACTCCACTCGTCATGTAAAATAAGCCCTTTTAGATGAAGCTCATGAATTTTCATCATGAATGAACAAACACCAAGGTCAATAGGAAACGAAAATAATAATACACTATCCTTTCTCATGGTCCATATCAAAGAGCCTAGTCAAATGAATTATGAAGAGAGAAATTATACTTTTTAATCCACAGTACTTTCATTCGACCATGAATGTATTAATTCAGGGTACTTGTAAGAAGCATTTTCATGAGAGAGATCTGAAGCAAGACAAAGTAGATACATGCTGGCAGCATAAAGAAGAATCAAATCTAATTATTGCAGAATCTTAGAGATAATCTAAGCATTGCCTAATTACATACAACAAATTTTATCAGCAATTTTTTATATGTAAGGCACATCAACTGAGTGTAAGGAACATGTCTATTTTCTAAGCAGAAACTGGAATCATTTGGAGGGCTTGTTAAAAACACATATTGCTGAGTCCCATTCCCAGCTTCAGACTCGAAGTTTCTAGGGTGGGTCCAAGAACAGGCACTTCTAGGCAGCTTCCAGGTGCTGCTGCTGCTGCTGCTGGGGCAAGGTCACACTACTAGGGCCACTCTACCACGGTCCTTGCAGGTGATTACTGCAGGGTTTTCTGGAACACTTCTAATGAGCTGAGTGGTGAGAGCTGCCTGCACCAATAAACATCTTACAGTTGGCTAGTATCATGCTGAAAAGTGCTGCCCCACAATTCTGTGCCCGGTCCAATTTCTGCCAACTGGGATTTCTCTGGATACACCTAGTCTCCATATAAATGCCTACACTAAGGAAAAGAATAGATAGGAGTTTGTTTGGCCAATTATAATAGGTTCCATGCCTGTTAAGTCAATTCTGCCATCTGGCTCCCAAGTTCAAACCTTAAGAGATTCTGGGAAACAGAATAAAGTATACTAATATTTTGTGTACAGCTTGATGAGTGATTGTATATATACATATCCATACAACTATCTACCTTCCACGTCAAGATTCAGGATATTTTCACCACCCCAGAATTTCCTTTGTGTTCTTTCCAGTCAGTACCAATCCACCAAAGGAACAATTGCTGTACTTCAGTTGCTGTGAGCCAGCAAGTGTGTTTGCTCTTTAACTTCATGTCAATGGATATGTAGAAAATACACTGTTTTGTACTTGGTATTTTCAATCAACATGACCATGAGATTCAACCATGTTGTCAATAGCAATAGTGAGCCTTTCATTTTTATTGCTATGTAGTATCCCAAGTTTGACATACCTTACAGTCTTCTATTTAATTCCTTTTTCTATTTTGTGTATGTTTAAGGTTGTTAGCTGTCATGACATGAACCAGAATGGTGCCAAATACCTTATGTTACTTCATCTGATCAATAATGTTATATTGGCACTCCTATTAATTTGTTGTACAGATGAGAAACTAAGGCTCAGTAATGTGCCCAAGGTCTCACAACTAATAAGAAGTGGAATCAGCTAATAATCTTCTGACTGATGACCCTGAGTTCTTAGCATGACATGCCTCTCATTCTTGGTGCTTTACCAGTGGTCACCATGGTGACATTGATCCCAGAGAACTACAGTTTCCTTTCTTCAAGGGCCTTTCCATTTTCAGCCCTCTTTTCTTCCTATTGTGTGATGGTCCTGAGGCTTCTTCAGCTGTGCCAGTAAACTGCATGGGGACACTTGTCAATGTGCCATCTTGATTTTTTCCAACTCCTTCAAATGAAAAGATTTGTTGGAAGGAGTTTGTTTCTTCTGTGACTTCTTTTTCTTTAAAAAAAAAATCTATTTTTCAAACTCTCTGATCACTTCCAAAATCCCTGCCCTTATTAAATGCAAATAATAGAATCAATTTAGTCCTGAGGCTCCTGTTAAGGTTACACCTAAATTGTCTCTGAAAAATAACTGTCTGTTCTGTTGAAGAAAGTGTTTAAACTTCCTTTGACTTTAGTGTCTAATAAACCCTTAGCAGAAGGAAGTTTATTCTTAAGTACAAATTACTGGGGCCATTTATGCTTCATTTCCTTTTTTATTCTGCTAATTGCAGATGGAAATTAGTGGTCAGCCTCTTCCATGGTATCAACTTGAATAGATTTACAAAAATAATCAGACACTTGCAGCAATTTAAACCTGGCTTTGATTCAGTATATGAATAAAAAAAAAATCCCTGCACATATACTTATGATTAAGAATTCTTATTTTTATTTTGACTAGGAAATCTTATTTTTATTTTTATACTACTTATGATGCATTCAGATTTCAAAATATGGGTTTTTATTGCTAAGTACATAGGCTAGTGTTGTTTGCACTTATAACCATGGTAATCTGCTAAATAGTTCTCATGGTCTAGTAGGAACTGAGGCTCAGAAGTAAAAATGGGATTCTCTTTGCTTAGTATCTCATTATGCTAGTTTTTAATAAATTACATAAAATTCATTCATCTGATAATCTTTTTGTAATTCTAATTCGTATCCTAAGACTCACTTTGGGGAAAACTTTGAGGAATTCTTTTTTTAAAGAACTATATGCTTCCTGGACAAAGGGTGTGTTAGGGCAACTGAATGATTCATGAGGGAAAGGCTTTCTTTATGGACTAATTCTTCCATATGGAAGAAATGACAAAATTTGAAGTCATCATTTTGTAGATCTAATGAATTAGTGGACCTAGCTTTCATCAGTCATTGATAAAAGTATTAATTGTACTATCACTGTAAAATGTCTGAACTTTCTAAAGGGATGAGGGTCAGGCCCACAACACCTGCATGCTGTCATTATTGCTACCACTAAAACTAGACAGGGAGATAGATATTGTGTACCATCTAATGTGATGGAGTAGAAAGAGCTTGCCATCCATCATCTAGTGTTCCGTGAAGGTTCTTCACCTGTGAAATCTTCATCTCCTATGAAGTAGTTCAGTAGCATCAAACCTGAATCTAGTCAAGCTTCCACCTCTAACTTCCAGAACACCAGTGAACAAGGGGATTGAGTGGTGGTGCTCACACCTAACTGCACATTAGAGTCACGTGGGCAGTTTTTCAAAGACCTAATGCCTAGTCTTCATCTCAGAACAATTTAATGAGAATCTCTGGGCCTGGGCATCAATATTTTTTATAGCTCCTCCAAATATTACACTGTCAGCAGAAGAGAGGAACAAGTTCAATGACAAGGGTGTATATGTATGTATATATGTATGTGTGTGTGTATAGTCTTAGTTAGGTTTGGCATCACTGTCACTGAAATACCCAGAAAGAACAACTTGAGGAAAAACTCATCTGGGGCTCCTGGTTTCAGAGGTCTCATTCCATAGATAGCCAACTCCATTGCTCTGAGCCTGAGATAAAGCAGCACATCCTAGGGGAAGGATGTGCTGGAGGGAAGCTGCTGCTCAAAGGCAGCAAAGAAGCAGAGAGGTGGGGTGGGGCAGAGGGCTACACTGAAGATTCACCTTTCCAGCACACGCCCCCAGTGACCTTCTCCAGCCACGCCCCACTTGCCTATAGTTGATCCTTTCAAAATAGAATAGCTCTCATAATCCAGTCATTTCACCTCTGACTGTTCTTCATATCCACACCATAACATCATGACAGACACACACACACACACACACACACACACACACACACACACGCACGTATTTCACAAAGAAGAGATATAGAGGGAAGGGACACTTGAGATTTAAAGATATTCTAAGAAACATTAACCAAATGTGATGCAGGGATTTTGTTTTGAACCTGATTCAGACAAATCAACCACACCATGACATTTTTAAGAGAATTTTAAGACTGAGTAGTAGACAATAATAAGACATCAAGCATTACCTTTGTTACTTGTGATAATGGTTTTGTAGTTATGATAGGAAAACATTTTTATGTTACTGAAATATTTGGATGGAATATGATGTCTGAGATTTGTTATAAAATGATCTAGAAACAAGGTGAAATAAAAGTAGATACAAACAATTGGCAGAATGTTGCTAGTTGTTTCAGTTGAGTGATGGATACATGGGGGTTCATATTGCTTTCTACTTTTGTGCATTTTAACAATTGTCATAAAAGGTTCAGAAAGGAGCCATAACAGTAAAATAAACAATAGCATATATCTTACATTGTGATATGTTATTAACACAAAGTCTCAGAAGTTTACATGAACTGTATACCTGCCAGTAAGATGAAGTCTAACCCTCTTTGTTTATACTGTATTGATTCTTACTTCTTTTTAAGAAAATACTTTCATATTGTTATTTATGATGTTTATGTGTTAGCTGCAGATGATTTGGGGCCACCTCCTTCTACTGTTATCAACCAAAATGAAACTTTTGCCAAGGTCGTTTTTAAGCCTACTGTGATACAACAAGCCAAGATTGCCCAGAATGGAATTTTGGGAGATTTCATCATTCGATATGATGTCAATAGAGAACAGAGCATTGGGGACATCCAGGTACCAGGCTTTGTGTTGCTATTTCATGTTGGTAGCTTGACACTTTTTGTTAAAACTCAGAACTGTAGATTTTGATATTTAGTTAAGGGCAAAAGCTCTTTTGGGTTCTTTGTAAAATTGTTTTACCCAAAATATGTCTTCAAAGAAACTAGAGATGATCCTTGCTAGAAGCTGAGGGTACCTATTTCCTGCTCCAGTAATCTGGACAGCTAATGAAATCTAAAATGTAATTTTCCCTGTGGTGTTTTAGATGAGGTTGGAATTTTAGTTCATCTTCAATTTTAATTAAAGGAGACTGTTCCACAGCTTATTTCCCTTTAGGTTTTATTGCTCCAGAGACAGGGTGGGAATATTAAAATACATTAATGTGCGTCCAGAATGTTGACAACCTTGATGTCTCAATGCGTACAATGCTTGGTAAAAACTAGATAATGAAAAAAGTAGGATTCACACGTAGCAAGGTCAGAACGAGACAGATAGTTAAAGTTGAATGGGTTGTCATGATCAATACTTTCTTTTTTCAGTGCTGGGGATTTAAACCCAGGGTCTCACTCATGCTAGACAAGCACTCTGTACTTACACTCCCAGTCCACTGATCAATAAATTTTAAAGGGATGATTCTATCCTCATATGGATTGATTAGCATCTGGTTCCCTTGGAGGATCAGAACCACAGATAATTTTGTTCTGGGTGTGGAATGTGACCCTAGACTGTTTCATCTTAGTTCTAAAAGCTCCATAGATTAACTATTTTGGGTACTACCATTTTTCACTTTTTTTTCCTTACCAGGTTCTAAATGGCTATTTTGTGCACTACTTTGCTCCCAAAGACCTTCCTCCTTTGCCCAAGAATGTGGTCTTTGTTCTTGACACCAGTGCCTCTATGGTGGGAACCAAACTCCGGCAGGTAAGTGAATGCCACCTGCCTATTTTTTCCCATCTCAGGTTTTTCTGGAACATGATCTGCCTTGTGAATAAAATTTCAGTTGCTGCCAGATATCTGTTTTATCATGCAGCTATTCCTAATTAATTAATTTAAGCCATTGATGGAAACCATTGTTCTAGCATGTTGGTTTTTAAGAGAGCAGAGGGACATGCTGTAGAAACATCTTGACATAGGGCACTGGCAGAGTGGATCATGTGAGACAAAGGAATACACTGAGAGGACCACTCAACCACACAGCCATTGTCCACAGATGATTCTGCTCAGTGGTGATTCCTTGGAGAATAACAGAGTAGAATCATTGGAAGTCCCCTTGGCATAGCCTTAGAATAAGGATTTCAGATCTCCATAATTCAGGATTGATATTTTCACAGAATTTGCAGTGAATCTTAAAATTCCAGGGCTGAAAGGGATTAAGGGGCTATGTACTCTGCTGAGAAATTAAGTTATCCTGAAAATACAACTATTTACATTTTTTTAAAACAAACCATTAGAAAAGATGATTCCTTATCTTACTTTGGTATCATAAATATCATTTTGGCTATTTGTAATATATCCACAACTTTTATAAGGTGAATTGAGAGCTACAGGATGCCAGATCATTTATAACTCTACATTCATTAAAAATTGAGTGAGGTCTTTATCTTTTCTTTTTAAATTCATTAACTATTTTTTTTAACTAATTGTATATATACAACCTGATGTGTTAAATAGTACCTCGAAGCTCTTAAAATCCCATATCCATCTGTTTCCACCATAAATCCCACTCCATATGTAATGGACTCTATTACAGCTAATGAAGTATTGCAAATATTTTTCTCAGTTGACTATTACTTTATAAATGATTTCTTGGATCATTTCTATTTTTAGAACCATGCAGTAAATTGGCAGATCTTTGACAGAAGATTGACAGATCTTTTTTATGGCATGTAGTTTTCCTCTACCCCCCAAATTGCTTAAATATTTGTCATCAGAGTATAGCTAAATATAAGTTCTAATTAATATAGGCAAAAGTTATCCTCACCCTGAAAAATAGCTCTGTATTCCTCTTCAACATCACATATCATTCAAGTTCATTTTGCCAGTTCTTCCATTTTTATTGCTTTTCCTTCTTTCTTGCATCTTTTTTTATTCTAATTCTACGTGTCGGTGGAATGCATTTTGAAACATCATACGTGAATGGTGTATAACTTCTCATTCTTGATCTTCTGTCTAAAAAGTACTTTTCTTTTGCCTGAAGAACATCCATTAATCGTGTTAAAATCTTTAACATTGTAGGTTTTTGTGAAGAATTATCCCAGTTTTTGTTGGCCAGAAAATTATTTACTTCCCTTCATTTTTTAAGTGTATTTTTACTGGATATGGAATTTTAGTTTGGCTTCCATTTTCTTCTGGTTTCCATTTTTGCTACTGAAAAAGTCAGTAAAAATTTAAACTGTTTTTCCTCTAAGGGAATTTTAACTGTTGACTTCTTTTAAGATTTTCCTTTGTCTTTAGTTTTCTATCATTTTAACATGGTGATTCTAGGGTGAATTTCTTTCTATTTATTCTGCCTGAAGTTCATAGAACTTCCTGAATTTGTGGATTCATGGCTATGTTCTCAGTCATAATCTCTAAAGTTCACTTTTCCATGTGTGATTCCAATGTTAGAGTTTTTATTCCTCTCTGTTTTCCACATTCTCTTTTATGTATTCCAACTTACCCATGCTTCATTTCATACCTATCTTCCAATTCACAAATACTCTCTTCATATATGTCTAAGTGATTGTTAGACTCATCCCTTGAGTTATTTTGGTCATTGTACATTTTAGCTTTAGAAATCCTATTTGTTTTCAAGTATTTCTCAAATCTGTCTAGTCATTTTTAAAAGAATTTTCAGTTATTTTACAAAGTTTTTTTAAATAATGTTTCAAAATTTTTCCCAAGTACAGTAATGTGTGTGTCTAATAAATCCAAACTTTGGAGCCTCTCAGGGGCTGTTTTTATTGTCTCTCATCTTCTTGCCTTATGTGACTGGATATCTTTGATTGAATTATAGACATAAAATTTTAGAAATTGTTGGTAAAACTGTATTGAGCCCTGGTATGATAGTGTGTTATTCTAGAGAAAGTCTTGTCTTGTTTCTGTTAAGTGTGTAATCTGGGATTCTTTAGACCATATTCAGGGCTCAAGATTTTTTTGGGAATCCAGATGGCTCCAAGTTGGAGTGCTTGAGATTACTGAGACATGATTTCAAGATTTAAATAAAAATATATGTTTTTT